ATCTATTAAACATATATTACTGGTACTTATTATATATTTTCATCATATTTTTCTTTTTCAACAATATAAACGCTTCATCTTCAATATACAAACACACTATGTGAAAAATTTTTAACTATCGCCGGTTTATTTATTTACAAAATATTTCAACAAATTCAAGCGTGGCACTCAGCTCTGTCGTATTTAAATGAGGTTAGCTATGAATATGAGAACCCGCATTATCCCGAATGACTCCGATTATAGCAAGGCTGGTTCAAAGCGCATTTATATACAGCATATCTGAGAGTAATTTTGTTTTCAAAAAAGCGTATATTTACTTTCATTGATATATATAACAACTATATGTGTAAGGATTAACAAATATATATTTCATTTGTATTTTTAGGTGTTTGGAGCTCAAATCCTAAGTGTCGGTCACTTTAACGTTAAAAAAAGACATAAATGATATCGGGCCCACCGCACTGCGTTGCAATCGAATCCACCGCCGTCTGCGTTGTAATCATTTTTTGTCAATTCTTTTATTAAAATGGTAATATCAATTTCCAAACGTTCCAAAATATGGTTGTTTTGTGTAATTATCATACATACGATGCGATGCCAGTGTATCTAGGGGTAGTTTTGAGTACATATGTAGTGTTATAAACAAAATTAGGCAAAATTGGCGTCCCCTCGTCAAACTGTACAGAAGTGTTTGCATAACTGGTCATGATTTGCACCCCATGCGTGTAATTAGTTGGAAGAGTACATATGTGGGCTCCAGTCTCACTAGGTGTTATCAGTAGAACATAAAAACATAACGTACAAATAAGTCATAAACTTACCGACACCAGCAAAAAACTATCCGACAGCCATGTTTTTCCACCGCTTCTGCGACGAAATCTCCATCGCCGCACCGGTAGACCCACCGCTTCTGCGAAAGCTATGGCCAGTGTGAAACTGGTCAATTTGTTTGTAGAACAATCAAAAAATGTTTGCTTGTGATCCTCGAGGGAGAAGATGGTCAAAATCATTAATTGGTACATGCCTCCATGCAAAACTAAAATTTTGAAGAAAGTAATATTTCATAACTATGAGGGCTTCTGTTGTCAAGTTATTACTTTCTTCAAAATTTTAGTACTTCCATCAGCTTCAACTTTAATAATGTATAAAAATAAACTTAAACAGGAACCTGGATTTGATCAGTCAATGTTTGAGTGGATGTTACAGGAGGCTAAAAGAAGAAATTTACCAGATGAAAGGATGACTGGAGGTCTTTTGTTGATGAGATGTCTATCCAAAGTGACCTACAGATCAGTAAAATGGTAATGTTGTAGAGTTAGTAGGCTTCACAGATCTCGGTAAAGACGGGGACATATGCAACACACTTCGCACAGGGACTGGTGGCAGAAAATTGGGCACGCATGTTCTGCAGCTGTTGTTCTTAGGTATCACAGGCTTCAGATTTCCATTCGCACATTTTATTACGGACAATGTACAAGCATCAGAATTATATGGTCTATTTTGGAAAGTTGTTCAACATATGAATACATATGGTTTTAAAGTTTTATACACATGCATGGATGGTGCAGTTTGTAATCGTTCATTTATGCATCTTTGTGTTGGTGAAAATTCATACTTGAATTATAAATTTTTGTCACCTAATCCAACTTCATCACAGGATGTAATTTTCACAATGGACGTTTCTCATGTTTAAAAAAAATCCGTAATAACATTATGAAAAGTGGTCTAACAGCAAAGTCTACTAGACATTTAACTTTACCAGATGGTTATAATATTCAGTGGCAGATGTTCATGGACTGCTACAAATGGGATCAACAGAACAGTCTGCAGTTACATAGAAAACTGACAAATGAACATATATTTCCAGATACGCAGCAAAAACTGAGAAAGCACCTAGCAGAAGAAGGTTTAAATAATGAAATGTTGAATTCAATGAAACAATATAAAAATTCTCTTGGTGAAAAGGGTCAAATTCTTAATGGTGCTGTGCAGCTCCTCGAAAATACATCACATATTGTTTCAATTTTCCGTGACATGAGACCAATAGCAACTTTAAATGATCCTAGGTTGAGTACACTGCACACAGTTAGTGAATGTTTTTTAGAATGGGAAAGATATGGGCATGAAAAGAAATCAAAGACTAAAAAATTAAATCTCAAAATGCTTATGTCACTAGAATGCCATGAAGACATTCAAGCTTGCATTCAGGGATTCATTATATTGTGCAAATTTGTATTAAAAATGTCAACAATAATTCATGTTACACCAGGCTTAATAATGTAACACCAGGCTTATTATTTTAATAAACTCAGATGTGATTGAAAATGTGTTCAACCAGCAAAGGTCAACTTATAATGGAGCTAATACAAATCCAAATGCACTTCAATACAGGAAAACTATAAACAGCATCCTTGTTGGCCGAAATGTCATTTCCAGGAAATCTAATACCGGAAAGCCTGCTCCGAGTGCCGTGCCTTTCACAGTGGACATGAAACCCCTAGTCAGGAAACGAAAACCAGCTAGCAGTAACAAGTGTTCTGACATCAAAGTTATCAGACTATAAGTCAAACAAGGGGCATAATTATGCATAAAAGCAAATCAGAGTTATGGGACTTGTGTAAATCATATTAGATAATCACAGAGAACAAGTGTGTGAAGTTTCAAACCATTCACTTCAGTAATTTTGAAGATACCAGCTTACACGCAAAAACTTAACCAAGAATTTCTAAGTCGAAAAAGGGGCATTATCATGTAACAAAGCAAATCAGAGTTATGGGACTTGTGCCAATCATGTTAGATAATTACAGAGAACAAGTGTGTAAAGTTTCAAACCATTCACTTCAGTAATTATGGAGATACCAGCTTACACGCAAAAACTTAACCAAGAATTTCTGATTCGAAAAAGGGGCATAATCATGCAACACAGCAAATCAAGAGTTAAAGGACTTGTGTCAATCATGAAAGATAATCACAGAGTTCAAGTGTGTGAAGTTTCAGTCATCCCTTCAGAAGTTATGGAGATACCAGCTTACATGCAAAAACTTTACCAAGAATTTCTAAGTTGAAAAAGGGGCATAATCATGCAACAAATCAAATCAAAGTTATTGGACTTGTGTCAATCATGTTAGATTATCACAGAGTTCAAGTGTGTGAAGTCTCAGTCATCCCTTCAGTAGTTATGGAGATACCAGCTAACATACAAAACCTTTACCAAGAATTTCTAAGTTGAAAAAGGGACATAATCATGCAACAAAGCTAATCAGAGTTGTGGGACCGGTGCCAATCATGTTCGACAATCACAGAGTTCAAGTGTGTGAAGTCTCAGTCATCCCTTCAGTAGTTATGGAGATACTAGCTTACATGCAAAACCTTTACCAAGAATTTCTAAGCTGAAAAAGGGGCATAATCATGCAACAATGCAAATAAGAGTTATGGGACTTGTGTCAGTCATGTTAGATAAAAACAGAGTTCAAGTGTGTGAAGTTTCAGTCATCCCTTCAGAAGTTATGGAGATACCAGCTTACATGCAATACCTTTACCAAGAATTTCTATGTTGAAAAAGAGGCATAATCATGCAACAAATCAAATCAGAGTTATGGGACTTGTGTCAATCATGTTAGATAATCACAGAGTTCAAGTGTGTGAAGTTTCAGTCATCCCTTCAATAGTAATGGAGATACCAGCTTACATGAAAAATCTTTACCAAGAATTTCTAAGTTGAAAAAGGGGCATAATCATGCAACAAAGCAAATCAGAGTTATGGGACTTGTGTCAATCATGTAAGATAATCACAGAGTTCAAGTGTGTGAAGTCTCAGTCATCCCTTCAGTAGTTATTTAGATACCAGCTTACATGCAAAAACTTTACCAAGAATTTCTAAGTTGAAAAAGGGGCATAATAATGCAACAAAGCAAATCAGAGTTATGGGACTTGTGTCAATCATGTTAGATAATCACAGAGTTCAAGTGTGTGAAGTTTCAGTCATCCCTTCAGTAGTTATGGAGATACCAGCTTACTTGCAAAAACTTAACCAAGAAATTTTAAGTCGAAAAAGGGGCATCATCATGCAACAAAGCAAATAAGAGTTATGGGACTTGTGTCAGTCATGTTAGATAATCACAGAGTTCAAGTGTGTGAAGTTTCAGTCATCCTTTCAGAAGTTATGGAGATACCAGCCTACATGCAAAAACTTAACCAAGAATTTCTAAGTCGAAAAAGGGGCATACTCATGCAACAAAGTAAATCAGAGTTATGGGACTTGTGCTAATCATGTTTGATAATCATTGAGAACAAGTATGTGTGAAGTTTCAATCCAATCCCTTCAGTAATTATGGAGATACTTGCTTACACGCAAAAACTTAACGACGCCGACGCCGACAAATGGGTGACTGCATTAGCTCAATTATTCTGCGAATAGTCAAGCTAAAAAGGTTAATATTTTTCATAATTAATTGTAATAATAGGTTAGGCTTAGTAAAATCAAACCTGACTGCAGTTGCAACAAAGGCTTAACAATACCAATATATTAAGGCAGGTGACTTCTGAAGTTCTGAATATATTACAGATTAGATTATTTATTTATTTATTACTTATTTATTTATTTAATTTATTTATTTATTTATCTGTCTATTAATCTTTTTTTTTTTCATTAAATTATTTCATTTATTAAATTATTGAATTGTAATTAAATCATTTTATTTATTTCTTATTAAATTATTCCAAAAAAATATTCATTCAGAAAAACATTTTTATTAAGTCATTTATATTTATTTATTATTTAATTATTTCATTTATATAATTAATATGAAATGATTTTATTCATTTATTTATTATCAAATTATTCAGTAACAAAATTTATCATTAAGAATAGAGAATATTCAAGTTTATTGATAAATACAGGATTTATTTTCATTGAGTGGTATAAAAAAAAAATTGTTGAGTGGCAGAAGCCATGAGTGAAATATGATAATTTTCAACTAATAAAATCAACTGTTGTCATCCTATTTACAGTAAAAACCTGGTGATGACATAGTTCATCAATTTAAGATGAAGTAGAATAAATATTTTCATCATGAATTTTATATAAGCATAAATACCTGTGTGAGTTTCTGCAACATGTTAAGTCAGGGAAAGCTGGTTGTGATGCCTCATTAACAAAATCTTTAACAGTCTGAGGTGGAGGTATGATGTATCTAGGGTGATAGTTGATGACCCTTAGACCTGCAGATGTAGTTACACGTGACATTGCTACACCAAGTTGACCAGGCCTGAATATATCTCTGCAGTCAACTTCTGCTCTGAAATATATACATAGTAACAAGTGTATGAAGCCACAGAAATACCAAAAATAATGATAAAAACTCTTGTTTAGTGCTTATAAAGCAAATCATATCACATATAGTTCTAAAAACAGAATTAGAAATTCCATATAATTGTAGTTATTTGAACAAAGATTGGCTGTATATGGTCAGCTATGACTTGGTTTCCCTTTCTATACTAACCGGTTTAGTGTCATTCCTTGTGCCTTATGTATGGTAAGTCCAAATGCAGGTTTTAGTGGATACTGCTCTCTTACAGCTATATCAGTATTAAGCCTTGGACTGTAAACTGAAACATAGATATATCTAAAATGTAGTCAATCATATCTGAGCAAAATTTTATGTCATTTTTAAGTTATTCATATATTCTTTGGATATTTATTTAATTAACAAAAATGTCAATTACACAGATTTATACCTCTATTGGAAATGCATGATTAATGAAAGTTTTTTATTATCTTGCTTTAGTACAGAAGTAAAAAGTGGCTTATTCATGTTAATTTCAATATAACTTATCATTTAGCATTTGCAGTTTTAACTAACAGAAACAAAAGGGAAGTAATTTCCTCCTGGGCTTTATATTTCTTGACTTGCTGCATCAAGATACAAAGCATTTTGAGAGTCCTTATTATTTATTATGATTATATAACAGAGTCATATAAATTTTCAAAATTTGGTGTAAGGTTAAAGGAACAAAACTCTTTCCTTACTGTTAAATATCATAATTTTTTAGAAGGGAGACAAGTTACTTTTGGTATCCTTTTTGTCATGTTGGCTGTTGGAAAATGAACAGATCCATCATCAAGAATATCCTTTACATATCCCTGGAGACCGTTGACAAGTTTGTCTGATAAATTTCTCAATAAAATAAGTGGGCAACCAACTTTCAGCCATAATACATGAGGAGCAGAAATTGTAGACATCTTTGTTGCCAGTCCCTGGTCTGTAGATTTAAATTTATACACATTTCCAGGAAATTCTAATAAACACTTTCTGTTATAGTCATCTGCAAGATCATTTTTGGCAAATAATTTCACAGTCCTTGAACCTTCTTGAATGTCTAGGTGCCTATTCAGATTAGATGTAAAGTTTTCAGATTAAAGGGATATTACACCATTACATACTTCATTAATTGCTGTAATGAACTGCTCCTCACTTTGTCTTACTATCTCAGTTAAAATGACTCTGTGGGGGAATGTCTTCTTAAAATTATCAGACTCAAAACAATACTTTCCTTCATCACCATATGATGGACTGGCAACTGGTGGTAACTGGAGGAAATCACCACAAAAAATTATCTGTATACCTCCAAAATCACGACTTTGGTCTTCAATTTTACAAACACAATTTATACTGTCAAAAACTTGTTGAATTATCATTGAGCATTCATCAACAATTATAGTGTCAACATTGTATATGTTTTTGAGTACATGCTCATGTTTTGGGTTGTTTTTTTATAACATCTGTGATACGATCAGGGCCATAACGACCATCGGATATCCCAGTAAACTGATGAATAGTACAAGCGTTGATCCCTTTATAAACACTGCACGCAATTCCTGTTTTTGTTTGGGGTCCTCCTGGGATCCTTGCCATTGACGCTTGTTACTGGGTCGGGTGGGGGCTGGGTTCATTGAACGTCGCCTTTCCTTGTCGATCTTGTTTATCATATTTTGAACATGTGATCTGTACATTTTTACCGATCTTCTTCAAGCTTTTGGCAATTTCATTGATAACAAATGATTTGCCGGTTCCTGCCGAACCTAATAGCAGAAGGTTATGTCCTTCTATGAAATCAGCTGTTGTTTACATCCGGTGTTTTGGTGTCTCGTTTCAGCTGTACAAGTCTATGGTGTACGGAACCAGCGCTACAGCCAATGAAACGACGTCTTACAAATTTGTCACGTGACAAGCGAGGGTACCCGAATGGAAGTTCTCGGAGAAAAGTTAGAAAGTGAAAGAAAATAAACGTTATATGGACGTATGTCGAATAAGTTACAGGTAATTATACATGCATGTTTTGCAAAATAGTATTTTTTATTGAATACGGGATAAATCACGTTGTTTACAATGTTGCGACTTCTCGGTGGAATAAGCAAGAAAGTCGTTTTCGGCTAGATTTGTGTTCGGCAGATTACTATATGCATGGTAAAAGGGACAAGTTGCTCTTATTTATTGAAAGTACCATTAGTATGCTACATGTACACGTAAAAAAATATAGAATTTGTTTGAAAAATGGAAAAGTAATTCGCTTCTCATTGAGTTAAGGGCGAAAATTGCGATTTTTGGAGTTGGAACCCTTGTCTATATATAAGGATTGTCACCTGTTTTTTTGGTCTGGACCTAGTTTTTGTCACAAATAACCCCAATATAGAGTCCAGGCACCGTTATAACCACCTTTGGGTTAAACAAAAGGAAATATTTTATGAAAGAGAAAATTCGGTTTTTCATAATAAAAGCAAAATGTTATCTTAGAAATCGCTGAGGCTCTTTTTTGCCTTGTATCAGTGTGTCTTTTTCAGTTATATATCATTTCGGCGTCGTTACGTTGTCTTTGTTGTGATTAATGCTTCCGAGGGATCACTTTGTCTATATAATTTTGCACGAAGTGTATTAACCGGTCTGACACAATTTTTCAAATACAAAGAAACTTTGCGTGTTAAAAAAAAACACCATGCAAATCATCATTTAAATGTCAATAGGGCATCGTTTAGTCATCCATTGTCTTTGACATAATGTCACAAGATGATGTTGTACTGGCTCTAACTTTGTCAATGTGATTATATGGTAACAATGAACTACTCATAAGTGGATGCACAAATATCTTGATTCAATGTTCGAGTAATGATGTTGTATTCTAAAGCATAAAGCACAATAAATGCAGTCTGTCACACACACGTATAACATCTTTTAAACAATGTCACAACCTGACACGATGTCATTTGATTATTGATGTATGTTATGTATGCAATGTGATAAGAATGCACAATTTTCATATTCTGATCAAAATAATTGATTTGCAATGATAGTCAAAAATTCATACAAGCTGAGTGGGTTGTAATGTAAGTCCTGCTTGTTGGTAGGCGCTTTATATTACGTTACAATTTGCAATGTATGATAAATTAAAATGTTTCCCGCATGCAACTCTTCAACTTTCCAAGTACTGCTACACAGTGTTCCGTTGAATGCAGGCCGGGAACTTGGCCATTTGACAGCAATATCTATATGACAAGAATTGCACGCTTTATAGAATTACTACTACAGTAGGGATTGATTTCTTTTTAATCTCAAACACACAATGTGTTACGACAAACACCTAATATATTGATCTAATCAGATATATTCTTGATCCAGACGTAACCTTGATCTTAAATGACAAAATAATTATTAAAACTTATAAATAGTGTTGCCTTTAATATGCTTGTATGGTTTATTAAAAATATGAAATGGCCATGGAAAAGGTATGTAAGTGTGTACATGAAATATTTTAGAGAAATCACAGTTTGTATAAAATGTAAAACAGAATACATTTGATCAACATTCTGTCAATATTCTATTTTGATTAAATGGGATATTGCGCCACGTAAAAACAAACTTAATGTACTTACTGAAATTTCATTTGATTTGCTAAAACAAAGCGACCATAGAAACATTGTTTGTAGTTTCACAGTCGGAAACAAACATTTAAATTGATGATTAAGTTGTTCTTCAAAACATAAGCTTGTTGGTACTTACCTGGTTAACTGTAAATTTTCAAATATGTAGCCCAAAATGAAATCAGTACTTATCAAATAAAGAACTATCAATTTTGCTATGATCAAAACGTTTTTGAATCACTGAATCGGCTTCAATAAAACATAATCTTTGCATTCGTCATATATCCCTGTAGCCATATAATACAGTAAGCATCAAATTATAACAGGAAGCTAAACAGTCAAGTTTGACATTTACTCAAACGTGTTAATGATAAATGTCCAGCAGATTTTGTTGGTATTGTGCAAAACAAAACTACATATACATGTAAACCATGACTTTGCCTCTGATATAAAAAGTGACCATACAATCGTATACCTATGATCAGATTCATGGCATTTATGTCTCCTGGCACCAAATGGATATAATTCCGACGTCGACTTACTCATTCAATAATCTTTTCAACCTATATAATATATAAGAAAAATAGCGCCTGCGTATAAACTGTGTTATAAATCATATAGATAATAAAGTATATAATTATATGATTTGCAACTATATTATATACCAAATTTCTGTATATCATTTAATAATGATAGATGTAATTCATGTAAATGTAGTATATAAGAAATAACGGATACCTCGGACGGCTTGTCATAATAACTTACTCAAAATAAGAAATATCATGGAAACTTACAAGATAATTAAAGAAGAAAATTACTAAGAAGACCTATACAAAAAGGGTAGGGGTGTAGGGGAAGGGGACAGAAGCTATTCAGTTTGTCAATGTTCGATTCATAAAGCACAGAAAAATGCTTATAAAGACACTTTTAGGTAAGACACTTTTTGGCAAGAATTGCCATGTAAGCTTGTAATAGTAAATGGATATTTAGTACAATAACAGCTATATATGTCTCTGGAACTGATAGAAAATGAAGTCGGGTAGATATATATTTTTTATTATTTCATTTTTAGGCTGCAGCCCACACGGTCTATACAAAACTGCATCCCTTGTAGTGTTTACAGCCACAATTTTTCAACCATATCGAGAAAGTGGGAAACATCGGCTTATTAATGAAATAAGATGACATTAGTCGCGTGATTTCTCGTGTATAATGCTATGCTCTAGAATTGAATACTGGCTTGTCCTGCAATCTAACAGTTATATCATAATTAAATACATATTTTAAATTGCCCTGATTTTTTTCTTTCGATTGGGACATAATGGTAAGACATAATGGTAATAGATTTCCATCCTGTTTTATGAATGAATGAATAAATGAGTGAATGAATAAATGAATGAATGACGTTGCTTGCACTAGTCATTATCAAACATTAAGTTGAAATAGAATCAAATACTTATGAGATAATTTGAAAACCTTTCAAAAAACGGCGGTTTTCAGGAAACAACCTGCAAAAATAACAAGTTAATTGACTGTTATTGACAATTATATATTGTGTAGAAATTCCTTGAATTTTTTTAAGTAATTTAAGAAATATAAATTGCATACAAGAATAATTTATATTAACATAATAATGCATAAATACAATGTTCCATAAAAAGAACTTCTTCTTATGTGTGCTTCCAATATATTAGGGTAGTTATATTATAAAGTATATTTACATTTGATAAGGCACGTAAAATTATATTCTTAGAGATACGAAAACACTGTTTGCACTACTCTCTTGTTGAGTTCAAATTGTAAGTATTTTATTGTCATGCAATCTCTTCTACCAGTATTATATCTCTTTATATGCCATTCTTGATTTTATGAAAAGAGAAATGTTTTTACACGCATTGTTTATTTCAAATGGAATTTTTAAAAGAAATGAAATAAAAAAAATCATGTGTTACTTGAACTCAATTGTTAATTTTATAGGTCCGACAAGAAAACAAAATCATAAATTGTCTTTACTAAAAGTTAAATAAAAAGTCTTCGATAATGTATAGTAGCATTCCCTGGCTAATCTTTAAAGAATCCATAACTAATTTCGATAAGACTGTATAATTTAGATAAGATAAAGGAATTTGATTCCCAAATCATGCCAGGCAAACCTGCTATATATTCTAAGTTTTAAGACATTCAGTATTTAACTTTTTACGTAGAACTAAGGATATTTTGTATCAGTATAACTCCATGAGATATTTCTTCATAAATAGTAGGAATTTTTGAATCCAGTATGTAAAGTTCATAATCATTATGATGTTTTGGTAATCGACAAAAATGAACACATCGAGGTTATGACTGTGATGCCTACCGCAAAAAAGTTTTGCAATGAAGTTTAATACGAAATGACAGACAAGCATATCTTTTTAGATTAACAGTCATTAAAAAAACCAAAGTGCCATTTTTTTAAAATGACGTTTAGTAGGCATGTGTTAAAGTACTTGATCTAAAATTAAAGTTACCATGATCAAGGAATTTATCATTAAAATAGAAGATTTATTTTGCAACTCGAAAGGAGTGTATCTTTTATATAGAATGAAAAGATAGTAAAATAAATGGGAATGATGGTGGTTGTTTAATGGTGGTGTTGCAGGGTAATGATTGTAGTGTTTAAACAGAACAAGAGTACTGTAAACAATTTGTTAGACTTTAGTAGCTATTTTAGAGATAAAAAATAATATTGAATTAATGATTTTTATTCTTTGATCTATTCAAGATTTATTCTTATCTAGAATAAGATTACTTCTGTTTGAAACAATGTAAATGATGGTATTTAAGTGATTCAATGGCAATTTTACTATTGAAAACGCATTTTATCTTATGATCAGTGAAAACATATTTCTATTATAAATAAAACTATATGATATAGATAGATAAATAGAATATGCATTTGCATAAAATAAATATTAAAAAAGCTCTTTGTAATTTCATAAAAATTCTTCATCTTTAGACAAGAATAAATTAAAATTAAAGAATGTGTATTATAAATAAATAAATGAATAAACATGTATAAATACAGTATATAATGCAAGTATTATGCGCCGAAATCGCATAGCACGGAAATGACCTGTTGTATAATGCTTCTTAAAATAAATTTGTTAGCACCAATTTATCATATTATATCATATCATATATCATATTATATAATATCATATTTG